TTTGTTTTTTTTTTTTAAGTGCCAGGACTAGGCTGGGGCCAGGTGGGGCAGCCATGGGGGCTTCTCCCATGGCTCCCCCCACCACTGGGGGGAGGCAGGTACAGCTGGAAAAGCCACCCGCTGTGCCTGCGTCTCCCTGGTTGATCCAAATCACCGAATTGGCACCAAATCTTCCATAGCTGATTCAGCCAAATCGATTCAGAACAGCGAATCGAATTCAGCACTGTCAATTCAGGACAGTGAATCGAGTCACTGTACTCTGAAGCAGCCGAATCTGAATCAAATACTTTCCTAGTCACACAGGCCTAGTGGATTTCACTACAGGGTTCCTTAGCAAAATCTTAATGCAGACAGATGGATAGCAGATAAGGAACAAACTAGTTGAATTCAATATCCTAACACACATTTTTTAGACTTCCTCCTTCACAAAGTGTAGGGGTTTTTTTACTTGTACTTTAAATGTAAGCACTTCAGGTTGAACTTTACGTGCAGGAGTTCTTACTGATCACAATTTAGTATCATCAATATTCATTTGATGACACTAAAGCCCATACAAAAATATTGTTTGTTTAACATTATTTCCAAGACCATTTTAACCATAGGAATCCAATTCTCTTTATGGAAAATTAGATTTGCCCATTTACCCCAAAGAATGCTCTGAAACGATGTATTTTCTCTGCTGCTTAAGAAGCTCAATTTCATACCTGAAAAGGTGGATTATATTGGGTGACCTCCACAACAACATCATCAGACATCTGGTAACCTTTGTCTTCTACTGTTATCAGAGTGTAGTAGATGAGGCATGGACTGTCTCCAAGATGCCATGCTGCAGCCAAAATCACCAGACCCTCACTATTTATTGAAAAAACAATACTTAGAAGAAGTTGATAAACTATTTACCTTACAAACCCACCCAACCTCAATATTCAAAAGCCATAAACATAAGGAAAACAATACATAAATAATATTTTCCAGGTATCCAATATCATTAGGAAGGTATCTGTTTTTATTTAATAGGAACTTCAACTATTCACTGTTTTAAGTAACAAACAATGTGTGGTGTTAATAGTTTTAATAGTGTTCTTACTGCCGTAACAACTTTCTCCAAAATGTGAATCCATGTAAAAACAAAATTTCATATATGGACTGTTCTTAACAACTGTGTGAATAACACATGGGTCCACCAACTGCTAGATGCAAATATACTCACCGATTTTGCTGCAAATCCAAATACTGAATATTGACTCCTCCCTTAATGTCCTCATAGTTACTTTCAGAACCCTAAAAAAAATTAATTTGTAATTACACTATTATATCAACTATCATTCTTTATTATTCAAGTTTACTGCCTCTTACCCAAATTGCATCTGTGATGTGCTCTTTAAGAATCCTGCTGATATCCCAGCTGAGAACATGACGCTCTACAGAATCATCAATCTCCCATTTGTTCAGATTAGAATTGGTCAGTGTATAAAAACTTGATCTCTCTTTGTCCCAAAAAACACTAGAAAGCTTCATTAAAAAAGCAAACAAACAAACAAAAACAAGTTATAGCTTTACTGTTATGACACCACATGCCTTTCTGCACCCTATTCCAAACGAGAATCTACTTGACCTATGAGAAAAGGTCTAGATACCAAAATAATTCCAAATGAAAGTCTTATTATTTGGATTAATATAAAACAAATATCCATAACAAAAACATGTCAATCTCCCGTCCAGTTTCTGTGGAACTTGCAGAAAACCTAAGATGACCCAGAATTCTTGGTGTCCTGTTATCTAGGAGGAAATCTTTGAATTACCACTAGTTTCTCCACTAACATAAAGGCTGTCACTAGGAGAAGTCAAGATTCTGAATTTCATTCTGCAGGACATGCTGACATTTTAAAATTTTCCTTTGGCACAAATCTAAATAGCAAATTGAAATTTACTGAACACAAGTGGGGTATGTTGGTTTGAGATGTTCAGTTTCCTGCTACTGCAAGCTGATAAGCAGCAGTTAGGAATGGGGAAAGGATTTGCTGAAGAAAGTAATTAGAATACAGAATTATAATTTTATGTATAAGGGCATAATTACAAACACTTATTTTCTGAACTTACCACAGCATCGTTACTTGGAGATAAAATACCGAACAGAGAAGAAACCCTTCGGCCAATTCCAGAAAACATGCCTTGTCCCTGAGGCAGGACATGCTGGTGAATCTTCCCAGAACTATCTGGAATTAATCGAACTAACTGGCCCCTTGAAGAAGATAAAATAAAACTTCCTCCCTAACAACAAAAATAAAATGTCTTTATTAGTCATATGAAAGCCACACTGCCATACTTCTGCAACAATTCAAGTACCATGAAATAAGGATTTTCTGTACCAGGTCAAAATCAAAGTACAGGACTGGGAAGCTAACAATATCTCCACACAGTTTACCTGCAGGCTAGCAGAATCATGCCATAAGAGATTTTATCAGAAAATTAGTTAAGACACAGGCGATTCTGAAAGACTAGGAAAAACTTTGCTTAGTTAAAAATATCAGCCCCTCAAGAGGCCATGCATATTCCATGTATATTATAAAGCAGGGGTTTTCAACTTTTCTTAAGGAGTGTACTCCTTCTGGTGGGTACCCCTCCTGGACTGTACCCCCTGGATGAGTGGGGGTGGTACCCCAGCAGGCCAGTCAGTGGGTGGGGGTGGTACTTGGGTGGTGGCAGCAGGCAACAGCAAGCAGCAGCAGTAGGTGGCAGGCAGTGGCGCACTGCAGCAGCAGGAGAAGCGGGGGTACTTGGCAAGCACGCTGGTATGCAGTGGCATACGGTAGCATGCTTCCCAAGTACCCCCTCTTCTCCGTGTTGCTGCCGCATACCCCCTGAGGCCTTCCCAAGTACCCCCAGTTGACAGCCCCTGTTATAAAGCTTTATATAAACAGTGATGTAGTCTTATCAAGTTTGGCGTTTTTGTTAAACAGCTATACATATTTCTTCCAAGGCTTAACTTATCATTTAGTTAACATATTATGTAGTACTCAACCTCTAATGAATGTTTTATTCAACATTATGTATACACTCAATGCTCAGCTTTATAAGATAACCTCTCTACAAAAGAAATTTCAATTTCTTTGTGTGTTTGAGCATTCTCATATCTTGCCAAACAGCTCAATGTTTTTTCACTGACATGCCCTGTTCTATAAAAACTACCTGCACAAAGAAAAATCCAACAGACTATGTCAAGAGGAACTTGTAATATACTGGAAAAGAATCCAGCATTAGTGAATTCAGAGCTGCAAAAGGATGCCAGATTAGTAATAAAAGACAATGTGATGCTATTATTAAGCCAAAGAGCAAAGTAGATAGTGGTAGTAAAAAAAAAAAAAAAGCGATGACACAAAGGCTTAGCTCTGGTATAAGCAGTCAACTTCAGCAGTGCTATAGCAGAGATTAAATGATCCTATGCTATTAGGAATGCCACTGATTCCCAAGCAGAAACACTCTAAGGGGCCATGTGGACTATTATGGAGGCAGTGACCATTAAAGGGTAGGGAAGTGAAAAGGCTTCCATGGAGTTGGGGAAGAGAGGTCCCCAGTTGAAGGAGCCAGCTGTAACTGAAGGGAGGTTGACCCTGGGAGATTTTCACAGGGATTTCACAAAAGCTAGATGGTAGTCTGAACACAGGATAAGGATTTTGCCAGTCATCAGACCTTATGATCTGTTTAGGTCCCTTCTGATCATAAGTACTATGAAAAATCAAAATACATCTCTCTCTTAACTGTTTTCTGAATATATCCTGTCTAACAAATTAATGCACAAGACAATCTGACCTTCTGTCCCATTTTTAAAATCTTGTGAAGAAAGCACTGCTCATAATTCATGATAATTTGATCACCTTCAGTAAAATTATTGATAATAATACATAGTTTCTTCTGTACCTATTTAATATCAAGTTTCTGGGCCTTTAACAGATGCCCCATATTACTGTTAGGCATTTCTAAGTTACTGCTCAAAAATATTTCAAGCGTGAATCAAATTTGTACTGTACCTTTACTGCTGTTAGGAAACTGCACAAAGAGCCTCCAAAGTCTGTAGATGTCTCCATATAGGAACCTGCATGCACAAGACTGGGCCAGTAACGTATGGATCCTTCACTGGTAGCAACCATTACTGACAGAGACTTGAAATTACATTACAAAATAAATCATTCAATCAATCAATCAATCAGAGTATACGGGTTAACTATAATCAGGATGTAGCTTTAAAACATTGTTTTTAATAAAAACTGTTGGGATCCCCAGAAGACGTTAAGTAATTAATAGAAAAAATTGGTAAATATACACACACCCATTCAGGGTAAAGGGAGGACTATGTAAAAGCGGCAAGTTCTTATTCGGATATAATAATGTATAGACTGAGTCATATCTGTCTATCTTACCAATAAAAATAAAAGTAATTTTTGCTACTTTTTACTTCTGATAATCAGTAGGGCCTACATAGCTACAGGAATCCAGATCATGTTTACTGATGCAGGAGACAGCAAAACATACAGAATCTTTAATATTAATGACTACAGAAAACCCCAAACAGTGAGAGTTCACAAGCTTGAAATGTTCATCTATATTACAATACAGTATGAAACGTTTCCAAAAGAATGAATATAATTTATTTTTTCAAAGTTATTAGAAAATAGTCCTGAACTGGTTAATTTAAGTTATTCACCTGCAGAGAAGGAGCTTCACCTGAGGTACTGAGACAAGATATAGCTGTCAAACAAGAACTGCATTGGTAGTCGCTGGGTGGTAACTGAAGTTCCTTGCACACAGATAACTGTAGGGAAAAAAAAGCACTATTACAGACAGAATCACTACATCACACTAGTGTAGACAAAACTGGAAACAGTCCCTTCTTGATTATCAAGTCAAGTTCCCTGCTGCAGCAGGCAACCAGCTCATACGATCCCTTTCATAAAAAGGGATTGAGTTCCATCATAAAACCAGTTTATACCAAATTTATTTCTTAACCAGAAGGCAGTTCCAGATTCTCATTACTTTGATGCTCAGAAATCCCTATTAATTTCCCATAAATTTATTCATGGCTGGTTTGTCAATTTGTTCATATACTAACACAGTTCTAGCTTTAGGAGCCCTTTTCCTCCTTGGTGCTTACAAATCTGTATTGGTATGCTAATTTTAGGTCTGACACTAGATACTATGGTAAAAAAAAAATAGTCACATTACTCAAATTATGTTAAACCAGGGTTTTAGAGAGGATTCCCAATGACAGTCACATTTATGTAAAACACAACTGGTTTGTGCTCATCTTAATGATATATTCAGGAAAATGTCACTAATTAATTTGATCAAACTTAGGCCTTCATTCACAAGTCTCAACCATAGGTTACAACATTTGACTCAAAATAATCATTTTTCAGATGCTGCTTCCAAACAATTGGCAATTTTTTTTCAAAAGGAGGTTTCACTACTGCAGGTTTAACAAATGAAGTGAGCCGTCTCCCTGATAATCACATTGTTAAAGAACATAAGTCCATCCTACTTTTACCACTGATTAAATGGAAAAACCAAACAAAGAACAAAACTATGCCCATCATCCATGCCTATAGATTACTAGTATGTGCCCAGCCCGTCATCTGTTCTTGATCCTTTCAGACTGAAAGCTCTCTACAGCACAGATTCTCAACCAGGGTGCTGTGGAGTGCTGCGCAGGTGTCAGTTTGCCAATTTTGTTGTATGCCAAGGTGTGTACACACCTACGTATGGTTCACAAGACAAACCCAGAAACTTCCAATAGGAATCCGTATAATCAAAAACATTGTGGTGGTGGTTTCTGAGTTCTTTCCAACAGAAAACTGTTCTATTATTTTTCCATAGGCAAATAGTGAATAAAAGCCAAGAGCTAGCATTCAGAGGGGAGCTTTGGAGCCTAAAGAGGCTGAGAACCATTGCTCTAGACCAGTGATCTCCAAACTTTTTTGATCACGCACCCTTACCAGTAAAACATTTTTGAGCACACACCCCCAATATATGTATATTTATATAAATATAAATATAAATAGAAGTTCTAATATTTTCTCCCCGCACCCCAAAGGATCATCTTGCGCACCCCACTTGGGAGACCACTGCTCTACACCATCATCGTCCATATTTGAGCAAGACCCAGCAAAAATAAAGCCTCCAACCAGACCAGGGCCATTTCGTATTATTTCAAAAAAAGGTATTAGTAATTAACGTAGTTTCCCCTTGTTTTATTAAGTTTAACAATGAAAACGGCATTATTTAAGTATCAGATACTTCCTTTGAAATTTTTATGCTCTAAATTTTAAACCTGTATTTTTAAACTAGCTCAGGGCTTTCCAACTTCACAGTGGGTGGGGGCTGCACTAGTCACAGGCCCCAGGCCATACCATGGATGCCACGTGCCCGACAAGCTCCCAGGACCCCTGTTGCATGAATTCCCTGGCTGGCCCCCAGCAAACAGGCTCCCAGCTTCCTGCCACCGCCACACAGGCAAGCCCTCTGAGTAGTGGGCACCCACCTCTGTGTGACTACCCAAGCCCCTGCTGCACAGGCAGCACAAGCCCTCCTCTGCCACACGAGCAGCGAGTTTACCTGGAACCTTCCAGTTGCATTTCCCTGCCCCAGCGACCCCTGCTGCCACCACAGCAACAGGAGCCATGGGGGAAGTGGCAGCCAGGTGGGAGCCCATGTTAACCCCTCGTCAGCCAAATACAGCCTATGGGGCACTAATTGAACAGCCCTGAGCTAGCTCATGCTCTAACAGTAGGTCCCCAAGATGAGTCACAACCCACCACTTTCAGCAAAACTGCTACAACCAGCAGAGGATAAGAAAAGCATCCATGGAAAAAGTTTCCACTCATACTACAAGAGAAAAAAAGTTTTTTTGAAGTCTTTTCCTTTCAGAAATAGAATCAGTTGCCTGTTCTCAATTCTACTCAATTAACAAGATGGCCAAACTATCCAACTAGAAGTACTTGAGAACAATCATGAACACACCCACAGGTGAAATAGTGTGGCTGAGGGGGAGTAAGTTAGCTTGTTTAATAACAGTATAGTCAGAGCATGTGCATTTGTTTGAGGACCAAGGTTTTTTTTTTGAGGGGAAATATATTTTATTAAACTAATAGTTGGGAGAGATATTTGGGGAGAGATATTTGAGGAGATATTTCCTGCCTCCACCACCATTAAGACCTCAGAAAAGCAGATTATTGATTTCATAAGAGCTCCAGCTCCTAATGTCATTAACTAACTCATACTGAAAAACTGTTACATTCATGTTTTATTAATTGGTGCCCCAACACAAATATTTTATTGGCATGATAAAACTATTCAAAACATCCATGCGCAAGTGGCATATAAAGCTTCAATTTTCATGACAGTTTAAAGATTAGTTATTGGACTATTTAAAATGACATTTTTAATACAACTAGCTTCTAAAATTATTAAATCCCTAGAGCATTTCTGCCTTAAGTGAAAATGCAAAACTAAATGCAAAAACACCCCCCAAAAAAACCCCAAACCCTCACTACAATGTTAATTTTACAACTGCAAAGAGAAATTACAAAAGTTACAAACTTCAACTTTAGTTATAGAAATGCTACCAACATTTCATACTAATACACACCTTTTTCGAAGAGTTGAGTCTCAGCTTATCAACTAACCCTGGAGTCAAGTGAAAGACTTGATCAACTGGTATAAAATAGATACACTTATTTTTTACATCCTCATCTGAACCATCCATTTACCTTTGCAACTGGTGATTGACCAATTTTCCAAACAGTCAGCCTCTCTTTGTAGACTAGCCAGGCCCAGCCACTTTCATCCACTTGGACACTTAACTGGTCATCAGCTACATAAAAAAAAGTTATTTAATTTTTCTTTAAGTTACAGAATTGAGAAGACATTGAAGAATAACCTTAAAATTATCACATCTTCAATTTGGTAAGAAAAAGGTACATGATTTTTTTTAAAGCTATTTCATGTTAGAAATTCAACCTCTTTGGATAATTAAAAGGCATCCTTTTACCAAGCAGTGTCTGAAATTTGATGCAACTCAACACGTATGAGAAAAATATTAGTCACTGTTAGAAATTTAAAATTATCAGTTTCCATGGAATTGACATCTTGTTAGACAAGAGTGGAACAAACTGAAAAAAAATCTAAATTTATTCCAGTTGTATGAAAAATCTAATCTATGGAAATCATTATCAAGAAAGGTAAGGCTGAATATAGAAAATAATCTTGGAAGAGACAAGAGACATAGTGAACTATGTTAGTTTCACATCAGGCAAAAGAAGGGGTAGAATATCATCTTTGAGACTAAGCCTGTCACACCACGTAGCTTCTTGGTTTCAAGGCAAACCCTATTTCCATGGGCTTTTTGAAAATAAGGATGTAGCGTGTCTCTCTTACAATTATCTGCTAGTTTTATATTGTTATGTAAAGAGAGATCATATCAAGATGTTATAGTTACATTAACAGCTTAGGCAATGTGACCTTGAAGAATTATTAAAGTACTAGCAGTTCATAGTAGACTCTTTTAGATGCAAGTCAAAACAAATGAAAAAGATAAAGAGAAAAGCATATGCAAAAGAATAGAGAAATGTATTTGTTTACTCAACCCCTGAGAATAACCCATGTCATTGTCGTAAGCCTTTCTAATGCCCCTCTAATCATGGTATCCAGGGGGTAAATTCAAAATTGGGACACAAGATTTCATCCATAAATAGCCTTGCTTCTTCACCATTCTAAAGTTCAACTGTTTGTATAGCTTCTTTGCTTTTAATTGAGTTCAGCCTCTGTTAGGAAGAGAAGACTTTTATACATAAAAATATTGCTGTATGCTCTCAGAACATTAGCTCATTCCAATCACCTTCCAACATTGTGGTTCCATACCTTGAATATCAGAAGCTACTAACACATGTAATTTTTGAGTGCAAGATATTTGAACAATTCCAATAATGTATGGAGAACACAGCATTGCGTACACTGATGAAACGCACTTAATTCAGCAATTGCTCGACGGCATGAGCCAACACGAACAAAAAGGGAACTACATATTCAAAATGGCATTCCATTGTAAACTGATGACAAGGGATCCTGGTTTTCTCCGTTTAAAAATGGCACATTCTCTGATAAAAATCCCAAATTCTCCAATTAAAACCCCCAAATCCATGTTTTTCCACAGTTAAAATGAAACACCACTATATATATAGGTATCAATTGAACACAGTATTTTATTGAAATATTTACAATTTGAAATTTAAAGCCTACCAGAGCTTCAATCACTACAATAAAATAAGTTCTAAATATCTATAAATTTTGGTGTTTGATTTTGGGTTTTTTAATCAAGGAAAAATCAGAGCTCACCCTGCCCCCTTCACTCACCAGGACATGGGTCCACTGCTTTGAGGCACTGAGCTGCTCTGATATGCTGGTGCCTTGTCTATGCCATTACCCCTCACTCCCCACCCACAGCCCCCCACTCCTCCCAAGCCCCGACAAAGGGGGCCCCAGCTGCCTGGGCTACAGGGCCAGAGACATGGGTCTGCAGCCCCCTGAATTCCACAGTAGCACCTGAACTCAGGCTGCCGCCCATGGGAGGCAGCAGCTACTGAGGTGGAGCAGAGTAGAGCCTGGCTCCCCCTCCTCCACAGGAAACATGGCCAGAGCAGAGTCTAAGGGGTGGGGCAGAAGCAGGCTGCCCATTGCAGGCTCAAGGCTCCCTGCCCTGTTCACCAGGGCCTCTGCAACCCAGTGGGCAGGACCTGGCACAGCACAGCAGAGCAGAATTGGGCAGGGAAGCTCGTTGCCGCCACTAGGAGCTCTGAACTGCCATGGTGAAGCGCCCCCTGCCCGCCCAGCAGCAGCAAGGCACACAACTCCATACCACCACTTCTGCTGCTTCTGGGCATGGGGGGGGGCACTTTGCCAGGGGCTTGCAGTGGTGGCATTGAGCTTCCCTGCTCCGCTCTGCCACACTTACAAACAAAACAAAACTGGCATTAGTGCAATAAAACAAGTTTTGTTTTAAACCACAAGTCTGTTTCTAAAATTTCCTGACTGCAGTGACTGACCACTCAAAGAAAGTTCAGTAGCTTGGTCATGCAGAATTAGTTGCATTTTTAATACTAAACAAACAAGTTGCTTACAGTATACAATTAAAGTGGGGCTACATTCTTTCCTTTTCTTCACCCTGTATCAATTGATTAATGGTATCCAGAATTTAAGATCTTTCTTTTAGCTGCTCCTTTTCCCACAAAGATAATACAGAAATGAAGTTCATACCATCAGCCATTCTTAGGGCCTCCATAACCTTAACAGGGAGAGAGGATCCAAAAGGTTTAACATCATAGTTGATGGTCTCGCTTGCTGAAGGGTGCTGTATGACTCTTGTTGGTGTAGCTCTAACAAACAAACAAACAAACAAACAAACCACCAGCTGTAATTTTTCCCACTATTTCTACAGTTGTTTTAAAACATCAGACATTTCACTGGTAATTGGTAAAAGAATGGGCTTTTGAAAAAAAATGACAGTAGTGCATATCTCTGAGAACTGCCATTGCAGGCAGGCAGCAATTCATAACCTTAGTTTTTCCTCTGGGAAGTTGTTTGATTGTTATTGGATTCCTTTATTTACAAATAGAGTTTTTACCTCCACTTAAGAGATAACACCTTTCCTACAAGTAAAACACTACAGTGGCATCTTCCAGGAAGACAGAAAAATAATGCCTGTAAAACCCAAACCTGGAGTTAAATCAGAAAGGAAGGGTGGGATGCCTCATTAAACAGATCAGAAGTTCCAGCTACCGATTCCTCAGAAGCAAAAATGCCACCTGAATAATCTTTACCAATTTTAAGTGTAAAGGATTCCATTTGAGAATGAATTTAAGGCTTACATAATTGTTCTGGGATTTATAATAATTCTCATTAACGTGCAGTGGGGAAGAGTTAATTTGTAAGGTTTTCTGCATGATGCTTTTTTTCTTATATATATCATAGTGGTGGAAGGAGGCAGCTAATGGGGCTTAGCCCCAAACAAACACAGGGCAACAGTAGGGCCGCACGGCAGCCTGGCCATGGGCTTCTGGCACTGCAGCAGGGGTAGAAAGGGAGTACGAGTGGGGTCGGGGCGTGGGACGGAGCAGTGAGTGGTTCGTCTGGGGGGCACCCAGCATGGAGAGGCGGTGGCGGCTCCCACCGCTGTGCACATCCCGAAAGGTCATGCATACGGGGGGCGTGTGCCCCTGCATCTGCGCTCCTGGACGCAGGCTACAGCTGGGTTCTTCTTGGCGGGAGGAGGCTGGGCTGGGCTGCGCTTGGGGCAGGTGGTGGCACTGGGAGTGGGGGGTTATAGGGGAGCTGCAGCCATCCCAAAATTTGCTGTAACACTCCCAACTCCCACCTCCTAGCACTGCCCACCTGAGCGCAGCCTGGCTCAGCTCCCCCCTGCTGGGAAGAGCCTAGCTTAGCCCCAGCCCACAGCTGCAGCCCACCTCCCCCCACAGAGATCCAGGGGCACACACCCTCCATGGGTAGGTGCAGCAGTAGGAGCCACCACCCCCTCCCTGCACCGGCCGCCTCCCAGACAAGCCACTCACAGCTCCCACGCCCCATTTGGGGGGCTGAGCATGCATGCATGCATGCATGCATGCACGTGCTTAGCCCCCCCCCCCCCCAAAAAATTTTTTT